TTAATCCTCTAATTTATAGCCTCTCTAATAGACTTTTCAACGCACTTGATTACCTTCTATTAAGACCATTATTCTTGGTTGCTTAAATCTAAAGCATCACCACCATAGGCAGCATTCAACAACCTTTTGCATTAATCATTTGCATACAACCGTTCAAAAATATTTTTGAACATTCCATTCGTAAAGTTTCATCACTCTCATCTTTGAACGGTGAGCACTGCTTAAATCTAAAGCATCACTGCCGTTCACCCCTCCTTCATCCGTTCCCCTAAATTAACCTCTTCAAACAGTTTCGTTGGTTCATTTTGATTTAAGAGAGAATAGCACATTTAAGCAAATGGAATCAGTTGGCATAAAAAGTGAAGCGATCGCGATTGGAATGCAAGAAATGCTGAGTGGCGATCGCATTGATTTACCGCCGATCATCGTTGGTGGAACAAGAAAATTGGCAGACAAAAAAACGCTTTTGGTTTATGGCTATTTCGATGTGCAATCAGCCGGCGATAAAGCCAACTGGAGGACGGATCCGTTCAAACTTGCTGAAAAGGTGATATTATGAGTGCGCTTGTTTAGCGATCATAGAAGATATGTGTTAATTGGAACTGATAGTACTGGTTGTGTATTGTTGCTTGTGATGAGATGAATTTGTGAAGGATGGTCGGTTGTATGGCCGAGGTGTTGTGGACAATAAGGCTGCGGTGATGGCGTGGATTGCTGCCATTGAAATACTGCAAAAACAAAATGTTGAATTACCTCTTAATGTTAAGGTTACTGCTTATTTGCTGCTTTTTGATGTACGCATTACATTTGTAATCTTTTTAGCAGAAATTATTCATTTCCGATTTTTCAACATTGATAACAAATAGACATAATCCATATTATTTGTTGATCTGATCGAATTAGTGAAATATTTCGATGTGCAATTAATTGGTGATCATGGATCCTTTCTAATAATGTTTGTTGGAAAACATAATGTCGTTGAAAATTTTTATTTTTGCTGAGAATACAAAAGTTTTTTTTCGAAAATTTTTGAAAATTTTCTCTAAAAAATTTCTCTCGTTGAGAAACAAATCAACAAACAAAGTGATTTTATTGATACTTGTTGGGATCCTTGTCAACTGCAATTCAGGTTTTCAATAAGAAGTGTTTTCATGTTTTTTT